ATTTTTTTTCTAAATCATAGCACAATAAATAATCTTGGACGCCAATGTAATGGTGTCAGGGCTGCTACACTCTGTACAATAATGTGCTGGAAATTTTCACCAAGCAAAGTCGCTCTGTTGTAGATGTGCAATCAAAACATCAATCAAGAGTACCAATCAATTATTTAGAGGCCTTGCACAGCAGTATAAGTTGTTCACAGCGACACTATTTCAGGCTTTCCTTAGCAAACACTCAGAGAGGTTGGTTTTTGCAGCTGTTAGTTGCACGCGTGTGTGTCAGAATCAATACCTCGGACGAGTTGATAGTCTAGCAGTCTCATTACTTCATTTGCAGCCCTTCTCTCTCACTCCATCTCTTTACCCACAAACACACAAACGGAGCACCACCCCTTTGATTTAATTTCCATTTAACTTGTACCTTAATGAGTTTACATTGTATATCATCCTGTCTCAATTACAGGAGACAGTGAAATGAAATAGATGCTCCTTGTGATAGGCTCCCCACTTCCGTGAGAGTTACTTAGCTGATGCTGGAGCCAGAGCCCGGTCCTGTCTGTGTGAATGGGCCCTGACACCAGACCAGAGACCTTCCTCTTTGTTCGCCCCCCCGCCTGACGTCTCTGTCAGCTGCTGTCTGAGCATCCTGATGAAGGGTCGCTCCGTCGTGTACTGCATGCCATCACTTCCATCTAAGGCCACTATTGATCGGTCTCATGATCTAGTCCCATCGCTCAGTGCTGCTGTCGGGCGCACTTCGATCTTCCCGTCTGTTAATGTCTTTATGAACCGTCCGCAGCACATGCACCCTCTGCATCTTTAATTTCCGCCATAAAATCACTATGTGTGAGATGTTTGCATGCACATACAGTATGTGTGCATGTCCAGCCTTTAAAGGGGACCTATCATGCAAAATGCACTTTGATGTCTGTCATACATATGTGTCCCCGGTGCGTCGGGGAACTCACGCAGCGTCAGAAAATAAAACCTCTTTTCCTCCGTACCCAAATCTTTTAAAAACGGGTGTACAACGAGCGGATACAGATTTCCATCCGCTGTGACGTCGGCGGACCCACAGAAAGTTGCTATCAGAAACAATGCCTGACGTGTTTTGGACGTAATCTTGTCTTTGTTTACATTAGCAAGCCTCGCTAACACTCAGAGCTAACCTCTACTGAAGAGCACATGCGTTTAAAAAGCAGGAAATAAAAAAAGAACTCACCTTGTGATAAACCTGCAAGAGATATAGCATTTGAGCTCCATACTGTTTCAGAAATAATCCTTGATGTGGTTTAGAACAGGATGGCGTTTTATCACAACCGAATTTAACTTTATCTTCGGTAGAATTCTGATCAGGCATTAGCTCCGCCTCCTGTTCTTTATTTTTTTTTTCAAGCCAAGGACCCAAGATCCACATTTCTCTAACAGGGCTTCAAAAGAGGGGTTTGAGCAGTATGAAGGATGGCTTCAATGGGTGAACCGTTTGGTATTTTGAAAAAAAACCTTCACAGACATGTTTTGTATAGGTATGGCCCTACAATATATTTTTCAAATATAGCATGATAGGTCCACCTTAAGGTATTGCCAAATCGACCAGCACCTGCCGTGACCCTGGGGAGTGAGTGAGGTGATTTCCTCCCCTCCTTACTCCTCCACTGAAACAGCCTCACTTTCTCATAAATACTTCAGGTCCTCAGCGTTCAAGGTTTAAAGTGATTTTCGTAAAATTAAGTTTCTGAGCTTGGAGTAATCCATCACTGCCATTTACTCTGCTTCCAGACAAGGTTTTTCTTTACAGGTTTATTAAATTAATACCTTTTCAGCCTGGCTTGTGGGAGAGGTCTGAATGAATTAAGATTCCACACAGTATGAGCTAAATCGTGCTTGTTCAGTCCTGAAGGTATTGAGGTGTCTCTTGGAGTGAGTGTGTGCTGCTCATACAGGCTTTTAACTAATGGTCTACAAATGTCCGGCGACTCTGTGTAAGGTATATCATTAGGTAAATGTTCCTTTTTCTTGGCTCTCCTCCACTGGCAAATGGGGTTTGACATTGTTCCTTGGGAACGAATTGGTGCAGGTGAAAGTCTCCATGGTATCTGCTAATGATAGCTTTACCCTCCACCAACTCTGTCACAGCAGGTGTTGAACTCCTAGTCTGTTGGCATTGGCAGGTACTGAGGGGTTCTGCAGAGGGGTGGGGCACCACTGAGCCCCCCCCCCCGAGAGCACTGACACAACGTGGCCGAGCTCCAGCCTCTCTGCTGACCTGGGTGAAGGGTGGCAAAGATGTTCAGCTGCACCTACAAAACGACAGAGCTTACTATAATCCCCTATCTCTATTCACCTCAAAGGATAACTTTTGTATAAGTGTGGCCATGAATCTTATTCTCCAGACTTATTGCTCTGATCTGGGAAAATGCTGACATTGCCATTATGCAGTCCAACGGGCTCAGAAATAAGAGACCATCAGACAAGTTATAAAAGAATCACCTTTTTTGGGAGTGTTACGTCCCCACTAAAGTCTACGGGACCTGGAGACAACACACAACCAATAAAAATGAGGGAGTCAGTGTAAAGGTTGACAAAAGGTTTATTCCTTGTAAACCTATAATTGAACAGAAATACTCTGTGTGAGGAGGAGGAGGAGGAGGAGGAGACAAAGGAGACTGTGCCAAACAAAAGAAATAAGCATAACAAAACCAGGCCTCTCTACATCTATCCTTTGAAACCAAAACTCAAACAAAAACCCTCACTAACTAAACTACTCAGAACTGGACAAAACAGAATACAGGGGTGGCAACAATCTGCTAACCAAGTGTGTCTAAACAGTAGTTCCCTACATGATGAGAAATGTACAGGGTACCAGTACATCGGGGACTTTACCGGGTACCCAGACTTACCTAACTCCTCCACCTCTCAACACACACGTTCACAAAGGTCAGAACAAACAAAGTAGAACGATCTTCTAAACACTGCAGTCGAATTCAGGCTCCTCCATCAGCAACAGGCCCAGAGTGAGAGAGAGGGAGAAGACTTCCTGGGTGCCTCCTTTATGGTCGGCCCTGGCTACTGATAGGCCAGCTGAGGGTGGGAGGATCCAATCAGCCATCAGACTCAGGTGCACAGGCAGGTACTGATCAGCTGTGGGGAAGACAGGGAGAAGGAAAACCACACAAGTACAGCCTGCCTGGCACGTAACAACCCCACACATAAATCCAAACAGTATGTTTGGACCTGACAACAACATTTACATAGCACGAGACCATTATCGGCCCCCTTTTTATGGCTTATGTCAAGGTTGTAGTTCTGGACAATCAATGACCAACGCATAAGGCATTGATTGTGGTTGTACATCCTTGCAAGAAAAACCAGGGGATTGTGATCAGTGTATACCTTAATAGATTTTACACTGGAGTCAAGATACACCTCAAAGTGCTGCAAGGCAAAAAATTGAGCTAAAGCTTCTTTTTCAATCCTAGAGTACTTCAACTGATGTTTGTTAAACTTTCGGGAGAAGTAACTCACGGGGTGATCGATGGCCTGTGCATCTTCTTGTAGAAGAAAAGCCCCTGTCCCAACTCCACTGGCATCGACCTCAAGCTTGAATGGCTTCAAAAAGTCTGGGGCAGAAAGAACAGGAGTGCAACACAGAATACCTTTTAGGCTCTCAAACAACTGTTGACACTCACCGGACCAAACAAAAGGCTTTGAGGGACTGGTCAACGTAGTGAGTGGGGCCGCCACCGAGGAGAAGTTTCTGCAGAAACGGCGATAGTACCCTGCCATTCCTAGGAAGCGGCGAAGTTCCCTCCTGGTGGATGGCACTGGGAGGGAGGCAATTGTAACACCTGCCCTCGACCAACCTGATGACCAAGGTAGAGAACGGTACCTTTTCCAAACTCACATTTGGCAAGGTTAAGCGTTAGGGATACGCCCGACAAGCATTTAAAAACTTCTCTTAAGGTAGACATGTGGCTAGCCCAGTCATTAGAATAGACAACAATGCCGTCCAGATATGCCTTACAGATTGGAACATTTCCTAATACAAGATTTACAAGCCTCTGAAAGGTGGCAGATGCGTTACACATACTGAAAGGCATCACAGTGTACTGAAGGAAACTGTCAGGTGTCACAACGCCGAGATATCGGACGCACGCTGTGTTAAAGGAACTTGCCAGTATCCCTTTAACATGTCCAGCTTACTGACAAATTGTGCAGGACCAATTTCATCGATGCAGTCATCAATGAGCGGTAACAGGTTTGGTCCTGCACAATTTGTCAGTAAGCTGGACATGTTAAAGGGATACTGGCAAGTTCCTTTAACNTGTTGAATGTAAAATATTTTTAATCAATCTATTTGTTTTTGTTTTGTTTAACTGGCTTTAATTGATAACCAATAACCTCACCCTACTAGAGGGAGCCCTCTACTGGATGAAACTGAGATCTTGGGGCCACAGACCCGATCAATAAAAGGCACTATGAAAAAGGTCTTTTTTTGCCTATAGTCTACTTTATCGATAAATTAGTAAACCTTATTTGCATAATCTGATAATGATAACAATAATAAATAGCGGTCATATGGGCTGTTTTTTGTGGATTTTGGCTACTTTTTTCAGTTTCCTCTGCCTTTATCCCTATTCTCTCACGGTTTGCGTTTCAAGTCACTATTATATCTAACAAACCAGAAAACCTTTCATTTAGGTATTGTAAATAATTCTCTAGTAGCCTTATAATGATTGAATAACATGTTTTAAGCCTAAGTGAAGGCCTTATTTTTACAAAATGAAAATGTAATATATTGTAAGATTTAAAAATGAAAATTATTGTAATTCAAAAGCTCACAGCACTCTTTGGGACATGGGCTTAATTGTGTTTATATGTTTATAGGTAGCCTAATTTAAAAAAAAAAGTATTTTTAATTTACACTTTAGCAATGTATTTATTTTTTAACCTGACCGGAAGTTATGTTTCTTAATCTCGCGAGAACTCGTTGGAAACGTCAGATCACCTTTGACACAGTTTCTCAGTTTTGTTCCTGCAGCAGCACTGAGGAGCATCTGAAGGGTCCAAGATGAACAGAGCTTTCAACAGAACAAGTATAAAACAGCTGGTAAGAGTATGACAGTTATACATTTATAACTTACACATATATTGTATTGATCTATCAACTTTAAGCAGACAAAGATCTTGAAACATGCCACTCTGCTTGCTTGTTATTTTGCTAGCTTGCTAGCTAATTAACACGTTACGCAAAACATGTTTATCTCTCAAACGGTGGTTTTATTTTATATGTGTGTGACAGCGTTGTTTGACTTATTCTGACAACAACTTTGCATAAACCTTGGAAAATCTTAATTATATAAACAAGCTTTCTGTGTTGAGCTAGCGCTAGCTGGTGTTAGCAACCCGTTATGAAACCCGTCGATAAACAGCAGTTACGAAAGGGTTCAACTGTCATTGACGCAGTAGGGATCGTTGATACCAGATTTAATGCAATCTCAATGAGACATATATCAGTATTGAATAGGTTTATAGAGAATTTCGTTTGTGTTACTTTTTAGGTTTTTTCTTGTTGTGTAACTTCATTTGAATGACCTTCATAAAGTGAGTGTTCTGTCCTGTCCAGATGAGGCTGGTATTATCCTGTTTTACTTCGACAGTCCGCAGCTGTAGACTGGCACTACAATATATATACAATTAATCACAGGACTGGTTGATATTACAATACAAATAAATGAATACACGTGGACACAATGATTAAGCAGTACAGAGGACATTACTTTTAATAATTAAATAATACATTATCAAACATATTTCTATTAAGAAAAACATGTTTTCATTTGTTAACCCTAATTCATTGTTCAACTCTAGTCTAGTCCATTTTTATGAACAATTGTGCATGTGTGTACAGTATGCGTCTTAAATAAGGCAGTACCATTTCGTCTTTAGTTCAACTAATGGGGAATACATGAAAGGCTAAGATGTTGCCCCTTTTCTCCAACAGACTGGTGTCCTCCAAAGGTTTCAAAGCACCTTGGTGGTCGCAGAGCACAACAATGACACGCTGACCCCGATTACACTAAATGCCATCACTGCTGCCAGTAAGCTGGGCGGAGAGGTAACCTGTCTGGTGGCTGGAACAAACTGTGCCCAGGTAGGCAAAGCTTTGTTTATTGACTGGCTTAAGGATCCAGAAACCTTTTTGTATTTGTGAAATCATTTGGACGTTCACCAAACTGCAGTAATATAGTAGTGCAAAAAACATTCTGATAAATAAAGACACCGTATAGTAAATAATTTATAAAGTGCATGTTGAACATGCTTAAAGAGAAGAAGATAATATAGAACAAGGAAATATAGATACATCAGATTTTCTGTGTTTTCAGGTTGTAGAGCAAGTGAGCAAAGTACAAGGTGTGCAGAAGATACTGGTTGCCCAACATGACTCGTACAAAGGTTCCCTGCCAGGTATGTGACAAACAAGAAACTTGATGCCTACTGTTTATTTAACCTCGCAGAGCTAAATATATATTTCACATTTCTGTTGTTGTTTTACGCAACAAGCTGCTTCATATTTGCACTCTTACTTATTCACAGCTAGATGATGTAGTGCTTGGCTTGCTCAAGGGCATCTTGGCAGTAGTTACCAAGGGAGAGGAGACCTTTGCTCATATGTTAAAGCTGGACTGTACTGGCACCGCTGCGGTCAAAGGCACCTGATACGTGATTTAGTGTCAGCTGTCTGATTTTCTTTTCTTCCTCAGAGGAGTTAACTCCACTTATCCTGCAAACACAGAAGCAATTCAATTTCACCCACATCTGTGCTGGAGCATCTGCCTTTGGAAAGGTAAGACAAGGACAAGAACAGTACCTGTTTATTTTAGTTTTTAAAAGTTTAAAACAATATTCTTCTCTTATTGCCCAGTCAAGATGAGCTTCTGTTCTACACAAAAAAAGATAGCCTCTGCTTTAAATATGCTAATTTCGCACAATATCCTCCTTTCCAAAAAAACTGTCCGTTCATCAGTGCATTAACTGAAGTCCATCTAACTTCCATTAAGTCTCCAACCAGGTTGATCAGTGCGAACTTCCCTGCTTACTCACCCTTTTGTTCTGCAGAACCTGCTCCCCAGAGTGGCTGCCAAGTTGGATGTTGCTCCGATTTCAGATATCATTGAGATCAAGTCTCCAGACACCTTTGTCAGAGCCATTTATGCTGGTAAGACCTTACTAACACGTGTTTTGTTTAACCTTGACATGCGACATGTTAGCTGGATTTGGTACAGCCTTGATATGACACAAATAAGCTCGAAAGGCTTTCATTGATTATTTGTTGGTGCTTCTACTATTTTGATTTATATAGGAAATGCTCTCTGCACCGTGAAATGCAATGAGTCGGTCAAGATCTTCACCGTCAGAGGGACATCCTTTGAGGCCGCTTCAACAGAGGGAGGAAGTGCTACATCTGCAGATGGTACTGTAACTTATAGATGCACTCGCAGATCTCTGAGACATTCATGTAAAGAAATGATTGTTATGAATGTTGAAGTATTGCTGTAGGTTTCTATGAGAGGTATTTGATTGACTCATTTTGATTTAAAAATGATACAGGAACTACAAATGTTATTTTTTTTTCTCATTACAATATATATATTTTAATACAGCGTTCCTCATCGTCATTCCTGATACTTGTATCCCTTAACAGCAATTACCTGTCCTCCTCCCGCTGGAGTTTCTGAGTGGCTGGAGCAGTGTCTGACAAAGAGCGACCGTCCAGATCTGACCAGCGCCAAAGTTGTGGTGTCAGGAGGTGGGAATCTGAAAAAGCAACGTCTCCATTTGTTTGCTAAGCCACTTTCTGTGATGGCGTTACAAAGTAGACTCATGGTGTGTTTCTTTCCCAGGACGGGGCTTGAAGAGTGGAGATAACTTCAAGCTGCTTTATGACCTTGCTGACAAGATGAATGCAGCAGGTAAAAAGGGGTTTTAATTTTGTGTTATTAATTAGTTTTCAGTAAATGTAAGTTTTAATTGCATATTATTCCTATTCCAGTTGGTGCATCCAGAGCAGCAGTGGATGCTGGGTATGTTCCCAATGACATGCAGGTTGGACAGACGGGCAAGATTGTAGCGCCGGTAAGTTATTATTTTCCGAAGTGCTTATTCAAATGTATTCCTCTTGCACAGCATGCCAAGAAAAAGAATCCACAGTATATTTTTAAATAACAAAATATGAAGCCACCTTTTTTTAAATCATGTTAAAAGGCAGGAAACACTTGAACTCAGGTCAGAGTGGACAAATGTGTCCTGCTTAAGACAAATGCCTTTTTGCCTTTACACAGCACGCTTGCAATTCAGTATGAACAGGGTTGCTGCTCTGCCCTTTTTAAAAGGTTAACTTCCCATTATGCGATACAGCCGGGTTACCCTAGCTCTGATTATCCACACATTAGGCCCTGGAAAATGTACTTGATGGCACATTTAGAGCCCTAACTGATTTAGCTGCTCCATTACAGCAGAGTGCACAGGATGCCTGCTCAGAGACTCAGACCGGGCGAGACTGCACAAATTAGATTTTTCAAATGTTATGACAAGCTGGTTGAATTCTGCTAAATTGAATAAATGTCTTTTATAATCTTGTTTAATTTCTCATCCTAACAATATAAAAGTGTACATTTAAGGATTCACATTTCTTTACATTTGTGCCTATCGTCTCCTCTTCAGATTAAAGTAGAATTGATCAATAAACTAGTGATGTTAGAGGGTACATCTTCCGATTCGTTGTCGTTCCTGTAGTCATAAGATACTATTGTGTTGAAACACTGATGCTCTGCTCTTCTGAGGTTTCAGCTGCAACATTAAATAAGCACTGAAATATTAATATGGCAGAGATGGTTTTCCCAGTGAGTTCAGGGGAGATATGGGGACGGCTGACCCTTTGCACACCCGCCCCAGCTCTGACCCTCCGATAGATTACACAGCGTGGTCATCAACCCGTCCGTCAGCTCTGAGATGAACCTTTCCCAGAGGCCAGAGATCACACTCCATGTGTACAAGCGAGTAAAACTAGTTTGGTTGTGTTCTGTCCGTGTCCTCAGGAGCTGTACATTGCTGTCGGTATCTCTGGAGCTATTCAACACCTGGCTGGAATGAAAGATAGCAAGGTAAAGTCACTGGAGCCACATGTTCCCCAACCTCCCATTCCTTACCTCTTTTTCCTACGCTTTTCCTTTGATCTGTTTTTTCCCCCCCATTTATTTAACCCAAAAAGACGTTCTACCTTTGATGTAGACTTTCTGAAAACGAATGATATCAAATAGCCTAAATTCCTTTATCGATCACAGACATTCGTCAGAATTTGTAAAAGCAGATGTAGCCTTGCTACTAAGGAATAGTTATTGCATAGGGTCATTTAAAGTAAATATCACACACAAATGAGTACAGCAGCAGCACAGCATCAAACATAACTGGTAGTCATACCCTTTAATATGATGTCCAATGTTGGGCTGTTTTGATAACAAATTGAATACATTTATATTTATTAAGTAATATTTGTTCTTATGCTTTAAGTTTTTCTTTTTTTTCAGACTATTGTTGCCATCAACAAGGACCCAGAGGCTCCCATTTTCCAGGTGGCTGACCTTGGCTTGGTCGCTGATCTTTTCAAGGTAAAGGAGATTGATACTGCTGCAGTAATGTCACTAGGATCTAACATTAGGAAACAACGGTCAAAACAGCTTACGCACCTTCTGCCACGACTTACTCTGTGTTTTGATTGCCAAAAGTGACAGTCAGAGGGTATTACAGTTGCTTTCTCACTGATACATTTAGCAGGATGCCTTATTCAACCCCTAAAATGTTGAATTATGAAGTTCTTGAACTGATCAGAGGACAGTCTGCTTGAAGATGAAAACAAATAGCCCCTCAGAAGCTATAAAAAGTGATGGATAGTCAGACATTTCACATGCTTAGTAGCTTTCTTATATGCAGCTGGTTCTTGCGGATAGTGAGCCAGGAGTGTTGGCAACACCAACTGGAGTCCAGTGCTGCTTGTGAAAGGCTAGCATTTTATATTTTCACTTGTGTCCTGTTGGTCATGTTTTATTTATCCCCTCAGCAGTGCATGAGCAGCACAGGTGTTCTGACAAACTCTGTAGAAGTGATTAGTAATCATAGCTAGTGGCAGCAGAGTTGTGACCAACTGGGTGAGATCAGCTTACATGTGATCACTCCTCAGCTGATTAAAATGGATGGGCTCTCTACTTTTCCCCCCAAACAGACAATTGATACTTCAGACAGTGACTGATGATTCAGATCTGAAGGTGCTCCGCTCACAAGCAGAGACATTTGAATAATTGTATACTTATATTGTTTACTTTGAAAGGCTTTTTGAAATGGTCTTGCTTTAAACCACTGACAGGCATTATCAGCATGTTCCTTTATGGGCCAGATGCCTCCGCTGCAAAGTCTTGCTCTGCATTTGTCAACCTTGCAAACACTGAGATAAATGTTTGAAGCCGCTAGATCAATCTCAGATGAAAGTCAGTGTGCTGCTCATTTCTACCGTTAGCATAAAAGTGCATGATGGTTTGTTTAATAAAGTCATAAATCTTGTATCACTGAATGCGCTGGGGATGAAAATGACAGGTGCTGGAGAACATTTATCCCCACATGTGAAGCCTGGCTATATCTCAACTGGTCTCAGCAGTTGTTAATTCAGAACAGAAGTGTATAACAATGCCTAAAAGATGTCGACAGTGTTATCAAGTTTAGTTTACAAGTCATTGGTTTTAAAGTACAGCGGAACAATTACACACATTGTATTGGACTTTTCAGCACTGTAGCGAGCTCCAGCAGTAAAACACTTTACAGAAAGAATCCCAGGTTTTCTCCTGCCATAATGTCAAGGTAAATGTTTGTTAAAATATTATATTTAAGCCTCTGCTCTTTCTTTCTCTTCAGGCTGTCCCTGAGATGACTAAAGCTATGGACAAGTGAGGAGGAACCGGTCAGACTTCCATCATATAGCCACTGCCTTAACAAATATCTGAAGTTGTGAGTGTTTGCATGCAGAAATAACTTTCACCATCTTCTCTCTGACTGGCAACAGACACAAATTGTCAATATAGAAATAAATGCCAGTTTTTATCGATAATATACATGTGTTTTAATATCAACCAATAAGCTTGTACTGACCTTGGGGCGGTGTCTGATGCCATTGGTTGTACAAATGTTGTAATTTGTATTTAATTCTCTGGTACAGCAAAGGACACCTTTGGCAACGCTTGCCTCTCTGACGTACTGTGTAGATGACTGTAAGATGTAGCCTAGAGGATGTGTACTCAATGAGATGCTTTTGGAAAATAATGTATTAAATTGACAACTAATAACTTTTCTCTTTTTGTCTTTATTGGATTCATTTTGCAACGCCCTCTCCCCACGATCAAGATAGAAAAGGCCTGTTGACAGTAAAATAAACAGGGTTGGTTTTAGGCAAATCTTGAAGGTTCATGCTATAATTTTCTTTTGACCTTTTCTTGTGGCTCCACTTCAAGTCTTTCACAATGTTTGGCTGTGATAAACCCATTCTAAAATATGTATACAGCTTCCAAACATTTGAATCATAAAACATTTTCGACCTAAATGATATGAAACCTGTCATGCTGTAGTTTGAAAAATGTCAGTAAACACTGACCCAGTCATGGCGCCTGGATAGTAAAGCTCTGAATCACTTGAATGACCCACCAGTCCAAATCTGCCACACTCCCAGAATTTAGATACAAATGTTGACATTGCTAATATAGAAAGACACAGATTAGAAATAAGCTGAGACTTATCCAATGTACCCTGCATCAGTCCCATGAAAGAGGGCTGTTCTTTGTGAGTTTGGAGACACTAGACTAACTATCAAAACAGCTGATACACTTGCACATAAATCCATGCCTCCTAGCTTACAGGAAGTGTTTCACAGTCCGTGTGTTCAACACCTTCAATTCCTGCAAAGTGTATCTGAGAAACTAAAGCTCCTCACTGGTTTCACTTCCTGCAAATCAAACTACATCAAAAGCCAGATTTCTTTTTTTCTGCATGGACCAGTTGTCGGAAAATGTCGGGCTTGAGCCCTGCTGCTGGTTTCTTTTGGTAAAATATTTCATGAAACTCAAAACGTGTTTCTGTGAGTGTCAATTCCTGATAAGTGGTGCCTGATAACGACTCGCGTCCTCCAGTGTTTCATGTTTTTGTGCTGCTCTGGCAGGCTCGTCCTCCCAGTCCCAACAGTACAAAGAGGATGATTGACAAACTGTTTATATGCCAGTGACTCCCAACAACACCGGAGTTAAGCTGAGCGTTTTCAAATCGAGTCCTGTGAAGCTGCACACGTCAGGCGTAGTTCTATGTCTCTGACAGGCGGTGGACTGGAGTGTCTACCTTCTCCATCATCCTGTACTTCTCCTCCAGAAGATGCTCGTTGCCCTGCAGATGGATGAGGGGCTTGGAGTGCAGCCCCACCCGGCTCTCCTGGTTCCTCTTGTTGTAGATGTTGAGCCTGTGCTCCAGCTCGGGGCTGGTTTTGGTGGAGCCTGTGGGGCTGGGCGGTTTAAGGTTGACGGGGTCCAGGCCTTTCTGGGCGAGGCAGGAGTTCTCGGTCAGAGAGGAGAGCAGCTCCTGCATCACAGCGCTGGGGGTCCCTCGCGGCTGAGGGCCCAGGGCCAGAGGGCTGCTGTAGGGTGGGGGGTAGCAGCGCTGGTCGCTGTAATCTGTGGAGGTGGAGGCCTCCCTCACCGTGGAGCTGCAGTCCGTGGTGGAACCCAGCGTGTGGCTGCTGACGCTGTTCTGCCGGGCGCTGAAGCTGCTGCGGGACACCGTGGTGGTGGAGGCTTCGCTCACAGAGCTGCCGGTGCGCTGCAGGCGGCTGGACGGCACCGCGTCCACACTCACCAGAGAGGAGGGGAGCTGGCTGTGGTTGTTGGGCAGGTGCACATCTATGGCTGCTGTCGTGATGACACGCGCTGGGTCTGGGATCCCCATGTCTGCAGAAACAGCACATAATGCAGAGGGCAGTGAAATACTGTTACATAAGATGGAACAACAACATTAAGCAGGATCTCGTTTCTGCTCACCGCTGCTTTGCTCACTGTAGTACTGGCTGATGTAGTTGTTCATGTCATCTTGACCATGGTGATCTGAAAAGAATAAAAGTAGCCACTTAATCCTTCACAGACATAATGAAAGTGTGAATTTAGAAGTTCATTATAGGTTTATTCACAGTTTGAAATAGTTATAACCCTTCCAACTTGGTTATCTTGAAAAAATGAAAAGCAGCAACATAACTTTACTTTCTCTAATTATTTCATAAATGGTTTATTAGTTTATTACACAATATACTGTTTTTAAAAGGTATTCATTTTATAATTATATAAAGAAGAGAATAATGGGCATTTTTGCTTGTTAAACCAAAAAATACATGTTCAATAATTAAAATAAAAGACATGACCTATTAATAATAATCAACAAATTGTGTTAATGAAATGCATTTGTTGTGGATGAGGTCCACAGATCTTAAATCAGACCAAGTGTTTTAGCCATATATTCATTTATGTATTGGTTTCACATATTCATGTTATGACTGTCACTGTCCCAAGAGGGGGGCACTCATTGTTCAGCCTGTAGTGGGACAGGGACCATCTCCAGATGATCAATACCAGTATATGAGGAGAGGCTCAGATGTAAGGCAGGTCCCACGATAATTTAGCTTTGATAAAGGAAAACCTCAGTGTTCCGAGCCCTGACAGCGATTTGTTGCCTCAAGTCACGTAACTTATGACCTTTCACTTTATGAAAGCTTTATAGGTAATTGCGGTGTGGCAGCGGACATTTTGATTCGTAGACAAATGTTTTTGAAAAGAGAGCACCAATTAATAAAATAAACACTACGCTCAGCATGCAGCTTAAGAGGATTTGTTTAATGGTTAAAGAAGCAGCAGGATATGTTGTGCTTTGAGACATATGTTACTAGACTAGCCTACGTTACAATCCTTTAATATATATTTATATTTATAGTGTTATGTCGGAAAGATCAGTGTTGCTGCTCAGGATGAGGGAGGATTTTGGAGTTTTTTATTTTTCAACATAGACAAAGCATTTAAATCTGCAACCTTCAAACATGGGGTCTTGCATTTAAATTTGGTATTGATGAAATTCATAAACATGTAATAATAACGTCTTGTTAATTCTGTTTATTTCAGCTGTCTGTCACATTTTTCAGCTGTCCCCTGCCACATAACTCTAATTTATGTTCCAAAAGAGACACACAGCGCACAATAAAAAAAAATTGAATTATTGTATTATTTGCTTCTTCTAATTGTCTATAGACAGCGCAAAATATCGATAATGGGAATTATTTAAGCTGTGATAATTGAGCAGTGAATATCTAAAATTGGGACAGCCTCACTCCCAACATGACCCAACTGTTTCAAGCCTCTCTTGCATTGAAGGCCCCCCCCGCCCCCCCAACTAACTCTTGTGCACAGAGGTTTTTGAAAGCCTGTAACAATGAAGTCAGGTGTTCCAGACGGTTACCTGCAGCCCCCCCGGGCTCTCTAGCTTTAGCTGGCCCGTGATGCTCGGAGGCCCCAGGGGCCAGGCCGTCCACCTCCTGGAAACTGCTGCTCTGTTTACCCCACATGTGGTGGATCTGCATGGCCGCTTCACGCTCTGCCACCAGATCCAGGTCCTGCTGCGCCAGGTGAGCCCTCAGCTGCCGGATTTCAAACTGAAGAGACAGAGAGACAAATGTCAGAACCGGAGGAAACTCTTCATAGTCGGTTTACTTAAAACGTACTGTATATTCTACTACCTAATTTCACATGTTTATGTCAAAGCTTGTTTTTTGTTATGAGGTTGCTTTACTTGCACCACAGTTAACCTTCATGTATAGGGTACAACAAGTTTATGCCAAACTCTTATTTCTAACCTCTAACATTTTGCAGTTTAACTTACAGACATACAGACACTATTCTCTTCCTCTGGGCTGACAACTGAGAAATAAAGAGCACTCTTATAAAGTTCAACCTGCAAATGCCTTGCAAACAATATTAGAACCATCATTATTACATTGTGAAGCAGTCAATAAGTTGAGATAATGCACAGTGCTGGCTATCTGATATCCATCAGACTTATGTAAAAGTATTATCTGGTGATAATATGGGATACAATTTTAAGAGCATCTTTTTATGGCTTTTTGAGTACAATTTATTTCCTGCATAGCGATCTGCTGCCCTCTGCTGGAGAAAAGCAGCTATAAATTATAGACGGAAAGTAGTACATATATTTGAGAGAGATAGGAGCACATACTGCCTGTTCCTGGCAGATCTGGGTTAGACGGTCAAGCTGTTCGTCCCTCACCGCCTTTGCCTTCTCATACTGCTGGATCTCCAGCTCCATCTCCACCTTCACTTGCAGCACATAGGCTACAAATAAATAGGACATATAATAGTGAGTTTACTACTGATGAAACGTTTCATCTTGTGTCAGTTGATCATCTTAATTTCAGATAAAAAGTTTATTAGGTATTTCTTCCTCCCAAAGCAGATCTTGTCACATTTTGGCACATTACCAAAACGTAGGTGGATAAAACAACAATACATGCTTTAACATAGTAAAGCATCAATTCAATTCAGATGTTTTGAGGTTGTTTCAGAACCGGTGCTTATTCTATGCTAAGCTTTAGGCATTCATTGTAAGTGTTGCATTGTGTGTGTATCAACCTATGCTATCAACACGCACTGCACTATATTAAAAAACCACAAGGGGGAGCAACACTGATACAAAGACAAATCATTCTTCCTAATAAATACTCTGTGTGCACTTTTAGGATAAAGTCATTTGAAGCTTGAGCTCCAAAACAACAAATGATGTGATACCAGGTGAAACATAAAGCCACAAAACAAACACTGAGACAAGAACCTCCGGATTGAATGTATCCGATACCGCAGAGAGCACACTGCAGTATCTATCTGTGTGACCTGACAGGAAAGGACAGGATGCAGAGAATATCCCCCCCCCCTCTCAGCCTCACCATCAATGATCCTCTTCACCCTCCAGATGCGCAGTGTGATGATCAGACCGATAGCATCCCAGGGGCTGCTGGGGCCGTTGGCCACTGTGGAGGCCACCATGGGGGCCAGAGAGAGGACGATGACAGCTCCATCAAACACCTGAGAACACACACACACACACACACACACACACACACACACACACACACACACACACACACACACACACACACACACACACACACACACACACACACACAGTTATGTCTGTAGCTCCCTCAGTGGTATGACATTGAGGAAATGACACTGCAGTGAAAGGGGCCCAGAGTAACAGGACTAATGGCACCCATGGGAGCTTACCTCTACTTTGTTCTCTATGTAATCCCATATCCCCAGCACCACGATCCTGAACACCGTCTGAAACACACAGATGGAGGCAGAGACAGGTTACACACACGGGGAGACTGGCTGAGGCAGAGCATGCTGGGTAGTAATTCAGCATAATAAACCTGACACTCCCAGTTAATGGCATTTGCAGTTGTGATTAAGATTTCTTTCATCCCTCCACGGTAATTCATCAATGACATCTTATTCATACACATGACAGGCAGTGTGATAGGGGTTCATCCAAACAATTAGAGACATTGCATTTAGCTTATTCTGCCGACGCAGCAGGGGCTGCAGAGGGTGAACAACTCTCCCTTTGTCGCTGTGCCTCTTCTGCCTCTCTGAGCCATCGTCCTTATTTCAGGTTTTCAGGTGTGCAGTGGAGCAGAAACCAGCCGACCTGCTGTTTGTACTCTTTCTATGCATCATTGTCGGGGGGTTGCTGTTTTATTGATAAGTAAAACTCCAGCTACACACAAGTTAGCAGTGGGGTGGTCAAGTGCAGGAAACTAAGATAAATGTGGCTCGCTGTTAAGAAAATGGAAATCAATAGAGCACACCTGAGGCCTTACAATTATTTAAAACTAGGATCACCGAAAAGTTCCATCTGCATTTTAAAGTGTTTGTGTGATCAATGGAATAACCTGAGGGGGAGCAACTGTGCCGGCTTTAACAACACCAGATAAACAAGTTTTATTTCACAATAATGAAGTAGATCTTTGTTGTGTGATTTCGCAGTACACCTCTAATGTATCCATTCCCGAGGTCACCTCTACCAATCAGAATTTGATCAAGCTGTGACAGAGGACACGGGGCGTTTCATGCTGTTGTTAGTATTATAATGAGGATCTATCGGCGTACTTCACTGGCCCCCCATACTGTACAATCTAGCATTAATGGACAGGTCGCTGCATCAGCTGTAAGTGGGACTGTTTTGTGTTGAGCAGAGGAAAGATGGAGACTCACCTCGGTGAAGAACACGGAGAGAATGGCCAGACTGATCCAGTGGATGATGCTGGCAAACTGGAATGCATTATTAACTGTAGGGAGAAAAAACAGAAGAACATAATGTTTAAGAAATGCGTGTGCGAGCGGTTACCTGCTGCGAAACGTTAAGAGGGTGTTGCAAAGTGGTAAAAATGAGCACATTCCAGCACACAGATACATAAAAGCGCAGGCAAAGGCATTAAGCAGCATCATAAATATGAATTCAACATATACATGCATGTGTCTGCATCTTCCCGTTTATTCATCAGGCTAATTGTGGACAGCCTGTAACAGCGCTCGGCTGTCAGCTGAGGCCTTTCTCTTCACGTGCGACTGCCCCTCCCATCTGTCTTTGTTTGGCGTGTTCAGTGATCTGTCTATCTGTCCGTTTATCTTCCTCAAGTCCTCCCCACATTCATCCGCCAGCCAACTCTGTATAGTCTGATTTCTTTGTCCACTAATCTCCCGTCACGCATTTGTCTTACTTTCCTTTGTCTGCCCTGTCTAGTCAGTCAGTCAGTCCTGTGGGAACAGTAAGGACTTGTTTGGATACTGCTGGAGAGACATTTCCACCACGTGTGTTCTTCACTCAGCCCCCTCTCATCAAACAGGTATGACCCCTGACCTTACCATTATGATAAATGAGGACGTCTCCACCATGCCAAATGATGTATACGAAGGTGAACCTGGGGTGACATGGGTCACAGTGGTATTTCGACCACTTGACATTTTGTGTTAACTGTGGAATACTAATTGGAGGATTATATTCCCCAGACCATGATTGATCAGAGCCCCAGGACCCAGGATAAATCACTGACTCGTTATACAGAACACATATCAGCACACACAATCATATATGTGTATTGTTTACATCCAAACAGTCCTGAACAACCAAACATCATTATAGTATAGTGTCTAGTATAACGTTTTGTGAATATGGTGATTTAAAAAGAAAATGCCCTTCTTTAAAAGTAATATCTTAGTACAATTATGTCATACATTCTGGCAAATGTTATAGCCAAATTCAAATCACTAGTCTAATGATCAATACAGTCAATTTGCTTTAATTTAGGCAGACCAGAGCGCCCAAAAGGTACATGTATAGTACAGTAAGGAGGAGTTTAAAAGAAAAGAACATCATGTATATTGGCTCACAAACACACAAACACTGATATATGTGCAAAAAGCTAATTTACATTGTTGACTTATACATTGGTCTGGCTAATTTATTGGTCTTGCTTTAGTGTTGATGTTCTGTGTTGCCATCATGTAAGGATATTTAATCTAACATTGTTATGTTTTGATTGGCTATAACAAAATAACTCTTGCCAGAAAAAGCAGGTGACTTGCTTCATGCAGTGCTTCTTCTTTTCAGTATATTAGTAAAAGATGTTACCTGTGTTATATAAGGTGCATGTTAATGCCAATCCTTAAGAAATACCTTTACCTTCACATATCTATTTCAACAAGATATGTTTTTCCTACTGAGACAATCTTTGTATTTGCTTTATTTGCTTTTAGCTTAATGAGCACCTCAATTTATAGATATCCTTCCATACAAACTGCAGTTCATCCTCATGACATGCAGAATAAATGTTCTACCTGCAGCTTAGTTTCTTTGCTAATTATTTTCTCCTTTGTCATATATCTCGAGCCCATGTATCGACCCATTGCCTTTGCATAGCAATTAGCAAACAATTGTGCTGAGTCGTCCACTTTTCTCCCTCTTGAAGAATGCTATTGTGGCCCAGGACCATAAACAGTGTAACGAATGAAATCCCTGGTATATCTACATCCCCATTTTTGTGAATAACCTCAGGTGACATCACTCATTGGCTTGTTTCACTCACACTGCAGCAGCTTGGTGTCAATGAGCAGCTCCAGGGTCAGCAGCACCACCACCAGGATAACGCAGGCCACCAGGAAACAGTTGAAGCCCGCCGACAGCAGACAGACCTGCCACAGCGAGGCCCTCCGCCCGCAGCAGGGCTTCAGCCAGTTGGACCTGACAGAGGGGGGGGAGAAGGCCGTTAGAATAGCTATGGGTGCAGAGATAAATGGGACTTGTTGCTGTGTTACATTGAAACTCATTGCGGATGTGCAGATCTGACAGGCAGCAAGCTAGGTCAAATCAACGAAACACTAGAAACATTGAGATACACAAATGGGGAGATGTATTAAATCTAGACTTTGTTCTGTCACAGTTTTTCTAAAGATTTATCAGCAGAGGGCACTATTCTGCCTACACATTCAGACCATGGATGTTCATTCAAATGTATTCACACTCTAATGTGAAGCATACATACATGTTCTGCTGGCACTGAGATAATTTAAAAGTAATTCTGTTCACAAATTCATAGTGTCATTTCTCTTCTCGTCTCTGGATAAAGCGATTCAATGTTGCCTTTCTGCAACCTCCTTAATACCTTCTTTAGTTTACTATCAGTGAACTCTTCTTACTATAACAGCCATCAGTTTGTTTATACCTATTTTTGGAAACGGATTACATGACGTCTGTTTGAATCCAAATTCAGGCATTAAATAATCTATTTGTAGCACTCCTTCCTGACTGAAATATCAGAGTATCTAGGTGCTGATACCTAACTTGGTGTGTTTTATGGTCTCTATTTCTATCTACGTTGAGACTTATGACACGCATTAAACCTTACAGTATGTTCGAGAGAGATTAGAGTCTCTCTATTAATTCCTCTCCCTGCTGCTTCCCTGTGTGACAGGACAGGTCTCTCTCTGGGTGAAAACTAGCTGACTGGCTGAATGCCCATCTGTGTGATTGTTTTTCTAACAACCTGGTATGGTAGTTCTACTTTTGTTAAAGCTCTGGATGACTGACTAGCTAGCTGGCTATCTGGATGTTGTGGCTCTCCTGGCATGACAATGGAGCTTCATGCACACCATCTGGGTGCAGTCACACCTGGCTGACTGGTTGTTGAGAGAGCATCACAGTGGAGGCAAGTAAAATGGGTTTGTTATAATAAAACACATATATTTCCTGATCCGAGACACTACCATTCCTACAACTGATTCAGCAGTCTCTGAGTACAACATACTTCCCGTTTTTATATTGTCCATTAGTTTGAAGTTTCCCAGATGTCATGTGTGCCCTTTTTTCCTTTTTCCAGGTACATTGTTCCCTGAAAATGTGACTGCCAAGGCCTCAAATCCATCCCTTCCATACAGTTTAAGTTCCATCTCCGACTGACTCCGGGGGATTTAAAGTCAATAAATAATGTCAATCTCCACTAGCACACCGGGCTTTCCCTTCCTCTCACAGCTTTACTTTACACCCACACGCTACTCAGGTGTACTCTAAGAAATTCAGACAAAGTAAAAGAAAGGTGTGTGTGTGTGGGCCAGGTGTGTCATCTCTTCGAGGCATTACTGAGAAAGGGAGTAGATTTCTTTGAAAAAAGCAGCTATTTGTTGTCACCTGTCCCCCATAGGAGGAAAGCTACGGGCAATATCTGTCAGAGGACAAAAGAGGATGCAATTTATTCTACTCTCCTCAGGAAGAAGGACTGAGAGAGGAAACGTGGTGCAGGCAGTTTAAAGGCATTGGGCATCATCCAAAAGTGAACTGGAGAGAGAGCCAGGGAGGAAGGAGGGGAAGTTGGACAAGGAAGAATGGAAAAGAAAGAACAGAAGAAGAAACAGATTGAGTTAAAAGATTTTGGTTTACTTTAACTTGTGTCTAATTTTGACGAACAATTTCCCGAACTACAACCAAAGAATGTATGTCCAAAACAGTAATATGTTGACTTTACTAAGAGACAATGACAATTATTTATATTGGAGAAGCTCAATATATGGTTTGTTTTGTACTCTATGATTAATTGAATGGTCAAATTAATACTCACAAAAACTCTTTGGTGCAACTTTCAAAAACTGTACTTGTACAATGAGGGGTTGTCATTGACATTTCAGGTATGCTTACTTCCACTTTTAACTCCTGTTACGTGCCAGGCAGGCTGTACTTGTGTGGTTCTCCTTCTCCCTGTCTTCCCCACAGCTAATCAGCAGCTTATCAGTACCTGCCTGTGCACCTGAGTCTGATGGCTGATTGGATCCTCTCACCCTCAGCTGGCCTATCAGCAGCCAGGGCCGACCATAAAGGAGGCACCCAGGAAGTCTTCTCCCTCTCTCTCACTCTGGGCCTGTTGCTGATGGAGGAGCCTGCAGTGTTTAGCAACTCAGTCTCTTTGTTTTGTCTGACCTTTGTGAATGTGTGTGTGTTTAGAAGTGGAGGAGTTAGGTAAGTTCGGGGTACCCTGTACATTTCTCATCACGTAGATAACTAATGTTAAGACACACTAGGTTAGCGGATTGTTGCCACCCCTGTATTCTGTTTTGTCCAGTTCTGAGTAGTTTAGTTAGTGAGGGTTTTTGTTTGAGTTTTGGTTTCAAATGATAGATGTAGAGAGAGGCCTGGTTTTGTTATGCTTATTTATTTTGTTTGGCACAGTCTCCTTTGTCTCCTCCTCCTCCTCCTCCTCACACAGAGTATTTCTGTTCAGTTCTAGTTTACAAGGAATAAACCTTTTGTCAACCTTTACACTGACTCCCTCATTTTTATTGGTTGTTGTGTGTTATTGTCTCCAGGTCCCCTAGACCTTACTGGGGACGTAACACAAATGGGGGGCTTGTCAGGGATATCTATTTTCCTGAGCTAAAAACAACTAATAATTGAGCAGTCATTGTAGGTGTTGTACATTGGCTAAAAAAATGGGTTTTGACATACATAATTGTATTGAAAGTCCAAGTGTTGATAAATTGTATTCCTGTCGCAAAGATGACATGTTATGTATTGCAGCTCACTTTAACATTTCAGTAGACAAGTATAGAGTAAAAAAAGAGCTAAGAGATTAAATTCTGCAAAAACTAGAGGAGTTAAAGATTCTTGAAATCCCAAGCATGTCAAATCAGCCTAGGGCTGATGTGTCTATTGATGGTGAACGTGTTGTAGGTGCTTCCTATATAGAACAGAAGGGTCGGGCTGTATTAGCTACACCTAGAGTTGACAAGGTTAGTCCTGAGGCTCCTCCTGCAACGCTTCCTAGGTTTGAGGCTTTCTCTCCGGGTAGCTTTGGTGCAAGTAGTGATGCCAAACTGAAGGTTCGTCTTGCCCGTCTTTAGCTGGAGATCCAGGAGAAGGAAATGGTGCGTAGAGCGGACTATGAACAGACTGCAGATTCGCAAGTTAGAGATAGAAGCCGAGAAAGAAATCATGTGAAAGCGGCTTGAAGATGATGCCCTGAGAATCTCTTCAGAGCAGACATTTGAGAGGTCAATACCTTCGCATACCTCATACAAAAAGTTTTGATGTTAGTAAAAATATTGCTTTGGTGCCAACTTTTAGAGAGTTGGAGATTGACTCATGTTTTTGTGCTTTTGAGAGAATTGCTACCGCACTAGTCTGGCCTAAAGACATGGCCAATTCTACTTCAGTGCAAATTAGTAGGTAAAGCTCAGGAAGTGGTATCTTCAATTTCTTGGAAGAAAGCTTGCAGTACGAAGTGCTTAAAGAGTCGATCTTGCGTGCTTATGAGCTTGTGCCGGAGGCCTACAGACAAAAGTTCAGACACCATAAAAAGTCTGCTACGCAGACATTTGTTGAGTTTGCGAGAGAGAAGGGAACTGTCTTTGATAAATGGTGTGCGGCTAATGAAGTGAAGTATCATTTTGAGTGTCTTCATCAGTTACTTCTCTTGGAAGATTTTAATAATTCTTTGCCTGAAAGGATGGTGATATTCTTAAATGAACAGAAGGTCACTTCACTGGCAAAGGCAGCTGTCTTAGCGGATGAATTTATGCTCACTCACAAGACTGTTTACTTCTCCCTTGTGCCCAGATAAAGCTTCAGTATCACAAACTGGAAGACCTGATCTTGGGCCAACAACTTTTGAAAGGTCTAGAGGACCACCATCACCTCCACGGGGGCCCCGTGAGTGTCACTACTACCATAAAACAGGACACCTTATTTCAGGGTGTCATCTCTTAAAGCGTAAACAACCATTTTCGCAACGCTTTCAAACGCCAAAAGGCATGGGACTCATTAAAGGAGTGTCCCTATCCGACATAGAAATGTCCCAGGAAGATGAAGTACCTGATCCCTGTTTCAAACCCTTTATTTCTTTAACAGGGGACCCTAAAGACCAGCTGCCAGTACAGGTACTTAGGGACACAGGAGGTTCTCAGTCTATTATTAGAGAAGGCATCTTACCTTTAACCTCAAGATCATCATGTGGATCAAGTGCTGTTGTTCAAGGCATGACACTAGTTGCGGCTCCTTTGTACAATGTTTATATTCAATCATCTCTTGTCAAAGGATTCTTTAAAGTAGCTTTCCTCCCTGCCTTGCCCAGCAGTGTGTTGATCTCTTCGTCGTTTCTTACTGCCAACAAGATGTGTCATGAAGTAATGATGCCTGTGAGGAGTCAGACTCCATTGCAATTGATCAGGTTGTCGTGCCAACAGCCTATCATTCTCAGGTGATGTCCTTGGCTCATGATTATCCGTGGTCAGGTCACATGGGGGTAACAAAAACGTATGAAAGAGTTTTAAAACAGTTCTTTTGGCCAGGACTCAAGTCTGATGTAGTTCTTTATTGTCGAACATGTCATGTGAGCCAAGTTGCTGTTAAACCGAATCAGGTGATTCACCCTGCTCCTCTCATTCCCATTCCAGTAATGGGAGAGCCATTTGAAAGGGTGATTGTGGATTGTGTGGGACCCATGCCTAAAACTGGAAACCAGTTTCTCTTAACTGTCATGTGTGCCTCCACTAGGTTCCCAGAAGCCATCCCACTGCGGAAAATCACTGCCCCGGTCATCACCAAGGCACTTCTGAAGTTTTTCCTCCATGCTTGGTCTACCGAAGATAGTTCAAACAGACCAAGGTACCAACTTCATGTCTAAAGTGTTTGCCCGGGTACTTGACACCTTGAAACCTCTCTAATGCCCCCTGAAAGTCAGGGGGCATTAGAGAGGTTTCACCAGACTATGAAATGCATGTTAAGAAAACATTGCCACGAGTCTCATAAAGATTGGGATGAC